AGAGAGAGAGAGAGAGAGAGAAAGAGAGAGGAGGGGGGGAGGGAGGGAGGGAGGGAGGGAAAGAGTGAATGAGAATATCCTGCAGGTTTAAAAGCCAGGAATAAGTTAAAATTCTAGATTTTTGCAGGTGAACTAGCAACTCATATTAATAAATGGTATTTCTGAGCTTACTATAAAGTCCATGAACAAGGTCAGCATAATTTCTCCCATAAAGTCTACAATAGTAACTGTAAGCGCCAAGGATATTTGGTGTTCAAAGTTAAGTATTTCATGTTCTTTTTTGTTTTTTGTCTTCAATTTACCACCGTCAATGCTGGTAAAATTTGATCTGAAGTACATTTAGTGTGCATTGCAATCTTATGCCTAGTAAAGCCGATTGAAAGGTATCATTTTATAGTAAACATGTATAAGATAGTTATGTTTTTATAGTTTAAATTTAATAGAGGAATTTGCTGAAGCCATATTAGAGGGTCTGTTTATGTGTGTGGTTTTGATGATAACCTTTTTGAATGAATTGAGTATTTTCTTAGCATGTCTTAGCAAGGAACAATTTCAACTTCCTGTTAATATATCAGATTTATCAAAAACGAGATTGGTAACTCTCATAGTGTGCTTTCAAAATAGCTAAGTAGTGGGAAAATTTCTTTATTGCAAGAGTGAGTTATAGCGATTTGCCAATTAATTGTCTCAGAATTAGTCACTGTCTAATTCTAAAGCAAAAGTATTTAATTGACTAATAAACTGTAATAGACAATCTATTCTATTTTTCTTAGGATGAAAGCATAATTAGCTTTGTGAAAGGCAGCATCAAAATAAGAAATAGTTATCAAATATACAGGTATGTAGTTTTTGAAATTATTTGATAATTGATATTTTTGCAGTGACAAGCTGTATTACGCTAAATATTTCTGAAAAGCAGAAATTTTTACTTGTCACCTAGTCCTTTAAGGTAGAGAAGATCAAGAAATATACTCCACAGGAAGACCAAAACTATACTTCTTGCAAGTTTGATTGTGTTACTCCAGAGGTGGTATTCAGCAGGTTCTGAACAACTCTGGAGAACTGGTAGTGGAAATTTTGAGTAGTTCGGAGAACCGGTAAATATCACCTCTGACTGGCCCAACCCTCATCTATTCCCTGCCTCCGGAGTCCCAATTGATTGAGATCAAATAGGGATTTTGCAGTAACCTTCCCCTGCCACGGCCACCAAGCCTACGCCCACAGAACTGGTAGTAAAAAATTTTGAATCCCACCACTGTGTTACTCCTCCCTCCCCTCTTATTCCCCAATCAGTCAGGGAGGGGTCCTCCTGAGTCTCTTCTTAATACTACAGGTAGTCCTTGACCTATGATCATAATTGGGACCAGAATTTCAGTTGTTGATTTATTTGGGCGTTAAGTGAATCATTTTGCAACCATGCTTACCATGGTTGTTAAGAGAATAATACTGTTTTTAAATGAGTCTGGCTTTCCCAATTTACTTTTCTTTTTGGATGCTGTCTGCAAAGTTTGCAAATTATGATCACATGACCCTAAGATGTTGCAACTGTTGTAAATGCAAGCTGGTTGCCAAGCTCCTAAATTGACATTATGTGACTATAGGGGTGACGTGACAGCCATAACTTTACAGATGGGTTATGGAGGCTGTTTCAACTTTGAGCTGATATTAAATGAATGATCAAAAGTTGAGGACTATCTGTGCTGCTAATTTATTTGAATTTCTTTTTATTTAATGTGTTTTAAGTACAATATTTTATACTAAAAGTCTCACAAGAGTTACAACTCTTAATAAATACCGTAAAACAATTTGAAAAATATAACAATAAAACAACAGTTTTTAAAGTAGAAAAAATTTATGCAATCAAAATCACAATTAAATTATTGCAAAGCCATTGCTGCTGCTTCTTCACATTGATAAATAGGCCTTCAGATCAATGCCTTCAGGACCTTCACAACCTCTGTGTCTTCTTTCTAAATGTTCAGTATTGGAAAGAGCCACTACATAGACTAGTGGTCGAATCTGTTATCGGAACTTCCGTTTTCAAGTTTGGAGTTAATTATGTCTTCAGCCTTGAAGGGAAATCTGGGAGGCCTTATGGAATCCCATCTCAAGAGGCATAGGATTACAAAATATTTTAAGTATGTTTAAAAGACTTCAAAGCCGTCTTCCCATTTCTGTGAAAGGAATTTTCCTATTGTGCTCCTACCAAGAAGGTCCAAATGTGTATCTTGCTTGTTTACAAATAACATCTGGTTTTTCTCCTCTGTCTCGGCTAGTAAGTGTTAAATCGGGTGATTGAAGGCACACTCAGGCTTCAGAGTAACAAACAGCTCTTTATTAGTACAAGTCAACTATGTACAATCCAGTGAAGGTTCAGTCTGACAGCAGCTCTTTTATAGGGAGCTGTCAGACCCTTCGACCAATCAGATTGAATCTCTGTTCCCGCCGGAACAGAGGATCTTGGTGTAAACCATTACCAATGTTTCTGGTATCTAACAGTAAGTATCTCTTAAATTTGGTTAATTCACCAGATTGGTTGTTACAGGAAGTTTTTTCATTCACAAAATGGTAGCGTGACATCTATTCACTATAGCAATAGCAGTTAGACATATACCGCTTCATAGTGCTTTTGCAGCCCTCTCTAAGAGGTTTACAGAGTCAGCCTATTGCTCCCAACAATCTGGGTGCTCATTTTACCCACCTCGGAAGAATGGAAGGCTGAGTCAACCTTGAGCTGGTGAGATTTGAACTGCCAAACTGCAGCTAGCAGTCAGTTGAAGCAGCCTGCAGTACTGCACTTCTAGTAATGCATTGGCCTATAGTTGTTCTCACCGTTATTTCCATAGAATGGAGATCCTATGAAAATGAAAAACATACTAGAGGCTTACACTTGAATTTGCAGCATCCTCGCTTGCAATTCATGTAAAAATTGAAATATTCCATTCACTTTATAAAAATCAGATGATCCAGGAAACCAGGAAATTGCCAAGAAAGATGTCTGCTCATCAGTGCACCATGTTTGAGACCCAAAATTAATTATTACTAATGACCCTTAATAATTGCTGTATGTAAAAAATAAATATGATTGCTTTTATTTTTTTACTTATTTGTTTATAATGAGATATTTTGTTTTGCTAGGGTACTGGAGAATCTATTACAGTCTCCCAGTTATGTTAAAGGAGAAAATCATCCCCATTTTGAAGTTGGTGTAAAGTTGGGAGTTGGAGCATTTAATCTGGTATGTATTGAATTTCTAATAAATTTTTAAATTGAATTATTTTAACTTTGCACCAATTATTCTGATATTAATACTATGCAGAACACCAGCAAATAGTCCTGCATGTTGTAATTTAGCAATGGCTCTTTCATATGAAGGCCTTATTTTGGAATTGTCTCACCACAGTTATGTAACACATATCAAAATTATATCAGACAGATGGATATAAATATTCCCTGTATTAAAGAATACACATAACTGAACAACATAAGCTTCAAATTGAATTTGAATAGCTTTCCAAGATCTATTCAATTTATTCTATTATTTAAAAGTTATCAATAATTGCAGAGGTTCACAGGCAGCATTCTTTATATTTGGATGAAAGTCACCTTTTAATTCCACATATTTCACACAGGAAGGAAGCTTCAATTATAAATGCTTTAGTTTGACTAGAATTTTTAGCTTCATCAACTGTCTCCTAGAACTCCTTAGTTTAGAATTAGATTAATATTTTTATTAAAAGGCTTAAAGAAAAATAATACCTCTGTGAAGAAATTATTTTATTTTAAAGCTCTTTATGAAATATATTACAGTACAGGTATTCCCAGGAATGCAGTACAGGTATTCCCAGGAATACAGTACAGGTATTCCTAGGTATATAACAATAGAACAATTGTTGTATTGTTATATACAGGTGAAACTCGAAAAATTAGAATATCGTGCAAAAGTTCATTTATTTCAGTAAAGCAACATAAAAGGTGAAACTAATATATGAGATAGACTCATTACATGAAAAGCAAGATAGTTCAAGCCATGATTTGTCATAATTGTGATGATTATGGCTTACAGCTCATGAAAACCCCAAATCTACAATCTCAGAAAATTAGAATATTACATGCAATCAATAAAACAAGGATTATACATAGAACAATATCGGACCTCTGAAAAGTATAAGCATGCATATGTACTCAGTACTTGGTTTGGGCCCCTTTTGCAGCAATTACTGCCTCAATGTGGCATGGCATGGAAGCTGTGGCACTGCTGAGGTGTTATGGAAGACCAGGATGCTTCAATAGCAGCCTTCAGCTCTTCTGCATTGTTCGGTCTCATGTCTCTCATCTTTCTCTTGGCAATGCCCCATAGATTCTCTATGGGGTTCAGGTCAGGCGAATTTGCTGGCCAATTAAGCACAGTAATCCCACGGTCATTGAACCAGGTTTTGGTGCTTTGGGCCATGTGGGCAGGTGCCAAGTCCTGCTGGAAAATGAAGTCAGCATCCCCATAAAGCTTGTCTGCGGAAGGAAGCATGAAGTGTACCAAATCTCCTGGTAGACGGTTGTGTTGTCCCTGGACTTAATGAAGCACAGTGGACCAACACCAGCAGATGACATGGTTCCCCAAATCAACACAGACTGTGGAAACTTCACACTGGACTTCAAGCATCTTGCAGTGTGTGCCTCTCCATTCTTCCTCCATACTCTGGGTCCTTGGTTTCCAAATGAGATGCAAAAGTTGCTCTCATGAGAAAAGAGGACTTTGGACCACTGAGCAACAGACCAGGTCTGTTTTTCTTTAGCCCAGGTAAGACACTTCTGACGTTGTTTGTTGTTCAGGAGAGGCTTGACAAGAGGAATATGACATTTGAAGCCCATGTCCAGGGTCCGTCTGTGTGTGGTGGCTCTTGATGCACTGATTCCAGCCTCAGTCCACTCCTTGTGAAAGTCCCCAACACTTTTGAATGGCCTTTTCCTGACAATCCTCTCCAGGCTGAGGTCATCCCTGCTGCTTGTGCACCTTTTTCTTCCACACTTTTCCCTTCCACATAACTTTCTATTAATGTTCTTTGATACAGCACTTTGGGAACATCCAACTTCTTTTGCAATTACCTTTTGAGGCTTTCCCTCCTTATGGAGGGTGTCAATGATGGTTTTCTGCACAACTGTCAGGTCAGCAATCTTTCCTATGATTGTGATTCCTACTGAACCAGACTGAGAGACCATTTAAAGGCTCAGGAACCCTTTGCAGGTGTTATGGCTTAATTAACTGATTAGAGTGAGACACTTTGAGCCTAGAATATTGCACCTTTTTACAATATTCTAATTTTCTGAGATTGTGGATTTGGGATTTTAATGAGTTGTAAGCCATAATCATCACAATTATGACAAATCACGGCTTGAACTATCTTGCTTTGCATGTAATGAGTCTATCTCATATATTAGTTTCACCTTTTAAGTTGCATTACTGAAATAAATGAACTTTTACACGATATTCTAATTTTTTGACCTTCAGCTGTACCTAGTAAGGGGACTGCATTATTAACCAGTACTTGTGATACTATTAATATTGGCCATATAAGATCTTGGAGCTCATCAGTTGCAAAATTGTCAAATGTTTACATTATTACAGAGGTGCAACAGTTCTTTTCAAGCTGCCTCTGTAACACATCCTGTTATTTTCTCTATATGTTTCATTTGATAATTTTTTTCACTATAGTGCTTTGCTTTAGTGCTAAAGCAAAGCAATGATTCGAATCTTTCGGTCCCTCTACTGAGCAATCCTGTACGGCAGAGTACACTAGGCTTCCTCACAACTCATGCTGTATTAAAAGAGTTTATCTCATTTACTATTGAATTGATAATCCATCTTTTTATTTCAAGGTTACTTGTGACTTGTTCAGTTCTAACTGCTTTGAAGCATAGAATAGCTTATTTCTTTGACATCTTTGTACAAACTTCTCTCCACCAAATAGTCTCTCTGAGATGGCTCTGAATAGTAATAGGACATTTTTATACAAGTAGCCCTTGACTTCACGACTGGTCACTTAGGGACCTTTTGAAGTTAAAAGGGATCCCCCAAAACTGTCCCAGTTTTGAAGTTCTGATGTTAGTTCGTCTCCCCCCAACAGTCATATGTCAAACGTTGGGCCTCAGCAACCAGTCCATATTTATAGCTGTTTGCAGTGTCCTGTAGTGATGTGGCTGCAATTTACATTTTTTGCCCCAAACTGGCATTTACCTCTGGTTCCTGGCAAAACCCACCCATAGGTAAAATTGGTTCACTTAATGACGGCAATATTTGCTTAACAATCACAGTGTTCATTTCACGACCACCACAAAAGTTATAAAATCACATGGTGACCTGCTTTACAGATGTACAACTTACAACTGTAATTATGGGTTGTAAGTTATTATGTAAGTTGTTATGTTAAGTCAGTTATGATCGTAAGTCAAGTTCTACTTATGCTGTATTTAAGAATAATAAACAATAGGAAGATGAAACGGCCTCAGAGAAGCCATTTCAGTGGATATGGATTACAATGTAGACTGTAAGACTGTATTTTTTATTAATGAAGAACTGTACAATTTAGTTATGGGAAGCTGTTACTTTTTTTTTTCCACCCTCGCTCCAGACTCTGTCAATGTTACCAACAAGGATTGCACGATTACTAGAATTTGTTGGGTTTTCTGGAAATAAGGCAAGTGTTTAATCTGTAACTATTCAGTGACAAAGAGTACAGGTCGCCCTAGACTTACAGCAGTTCATTCAGTGACCATTTGAAGTTACAACAGCACTGAAAAAGCTGACTTATCACTATTTTTTACATTTACAACTGTTGTTGCATCTCCATGATCATGTCATCAAAATTCAAATGCTTGGCAACTGACTCATATTTATAACAGTTGTACTGTCCGGTGTCATGTCATCACCTTTTGCAACCTTCTGACAAGCAAAGTTAATGGGGAAGTCAGATTCACTTAACAACTGTGTTGCTAACTTAACAGTTACAAGCATTCACTTAACAACTGTGGCAAGAAAGGTCATAAAATGGGGCAAAATTCACTTAACTATGTTCTCTTAGCAACAGGAATGTTAGGCTCAATTGTGGTTGTAAGTTGAGGACTACCTGCACTTCATATATTATTGTTTGTAAGAGGTATGTGTGACATAACTGTATTTGTTACCGTTTACATTTACAGATGCAAATGGTAGGTCTCTCTTGCATGCAACTTCCCATGGATTTTAATGCTTGCTCTGTACATGTGCACATCAAAGGATGGGGCTTGAGGCATTGGGGGTGCCATTTTTTTTTTAGCTCAGTGGTGGGATACATACATAATATACTGTATGCAAAGCAGCTATAGTTCCATTTCTATTCCCTCCAAAAGCCTGTCATAAATTGAATACATTTAATAATATTTAGCTTTGCTAACTGACTCTCAACTAACAGTCCCCAACCTTTCCAGGTCTGCAGTCTGGCAGCGGTAGCAATGGTGGTGTGGCGAGGAGAGAAGATGGTTTCGTGAGCCCACCTACCGCTTGTGCAACTGAAGCTTCACGCCCTAGCACATTTGCCCACCACTTGCTTGGCTTGATTCCCAACAGGCTGTGGACCAGTCCAGGCTACGGACTAGTGATTGGGGACCACTAATATAAATTATACTTATTTTTCAGATGAGAACTGTTGTAGAAAGGAAAAGAGAGATGTATCCAAATAGCTCAATAAACCTTAACAGGAAATTGAATTTTATACTCCTTAATCCAAGTTTGCATTAGCTGTCTGAGATATCTACCCCAAAACATAATTAAGAATTGCAACTCCTTGTTTTAGAAGAGGAAAATTCTATTTATGATAAAAGAAGGATGTGTATTTTTGGAATGATGGTGAAAAAACTATAAATACTGAGCAAGAAAATTCTCAGATCAAGAAATTGGTTGCTAAATTAGCATGATTAATATTTAGATAATCTATTCAGAAGGTTCATCAATTGTAATATTTGCTAATCTATTATTTAATTTGCTTAATTTTGCTTTTTACTTAAGAAAACCATTCAGTATCAGTTCTTCTGACACACTAAGTTCCTAATTATTCTGTGGCATTCCAGTATTTCCTGTGCTTGCTTCCGATCTATCTTTGGATTTTATTCACGGTGGAGTCTTACATGGAGAGATGTAGGGGAAATTTTAAAAAGTTAACCTAACCAATATGCATCAGCAAAATATTATTTAGACATTATAGTTATATTTAAATATAGCTTCTATTACCCTGCCGACTTTATTATTGACTTTACTTGGGAAATTGATATGAATTGTCTCTTCAGTTCTTCTGGATTATTCTAATATTGACTTTTGCTGCTTTAGGAACAATTTTTAAAGTTTTATTGTTGTCATGTTTTTGGTTCTAGTTTAGTTAAATTATTTTTTAAAAAAATACTGAAATAACATTAATAACAAAAAGACATTTGTAGTTAAGCCCCCCTTCTAAAGAAATCAAGCCTGCTAAAATATGCATTTGCTAAAACAGTTTATGTGTAAACATTATGGGACAGCGATTGCATAAATGAAACAGATCACGATTTAGCAATTTTGTGCAGCTACATGTCTACAATTAAAAGATAGCATGATTTAGTATATATGTAAGACAGATTATGTGCAAACACTACTTCGTTTGTATGGTATTTCACAAAAGAGATGATTAATTACATCATCAACATTTAGGGCAACTTACAATGGTTGGTATCTCAGGCTAGCTGTAAGTCATCTAATTATCTGATGCAGATTTGATATACTGAGAGATACTAATCTTTTGGTTTCCTTGCAGTAGAACAGACAAGGCAAGCTAAGATGTGAATAATTTGTAACCCTTTATCTATCGGTCTGTGTTACAGAAATATGGCTTGCAGCAACTTCAAGAAGGAGCATCAATGTGTGGCTTTAGGTCTGTGCTGTGTACTCTGCTACTGTTGTGCTATCATACTTTCCTGACCTTTGTGTTAGGTAGGGTTTCCTTTTTTCTCTAAAACTAATCTTTTAAAATAATCCAATATAGGAAAGATTCAGATTCATGGCAAAGTTTAACTATTTTAATGAATTAACCATTTGAAAAATAATACTGAATTCTTCAGGTGTGGTTGGTTGCTGCTTCACAAAGTCCTTATCTTCAGGAAGTAAAAGCCACTTTTAAATGGGTATAGTTTATTCATCAGATATGTATAGCTGCATTGAAATGATTTTAAGCCTGAAATACTGTTAGAATTAAAGAATAGTAAATACAGATAGTCCTTATAACAGTACATTTCGTGACCATTTGAAGTTACAATGCCATTGGGAGAATGTGATTTATAATCATTTTTGACACCTACCACCATTGCAGCATCCGCATGGTCACTTGATCAAAATTCAGATGCTTGGCAACTGATTCATATTTATAACAGTTGCTGTGTCCCGGGGTCATGTGAACCCACCTTTCGCAACCTTCTGACAAGCTGAGTAGTGGGGAAGCCAGATTCATTTAACCGTGTTACTAACTTAACAATTGCAGTTATTCATTTAACAACTGTGGCAAGGAAGGTTGTAAAATGGGGCAAAACTCACTTAACAAATGTCTCGCTTAGCAACTGAAATTTTGGGCTCAGTTGTGGTCAAGGACTACCTGTATTCTACAGGTGAAACTCAAAAAATTAGAATATTGTGCAAAAGTTCATTTATTTCAGTAATGCAACTTAAAAGATGAAACTAATATATGAGATAAGGCTCATTACATGTAAAGCAAGATAGTTCAAGCCATGATTTGTCATAATTGTGATGATTATGGCATACAGCTCATGAAAACCCCAAATCCACCATCTCAGAAAATTAGAATATTACATGCAATCAATAAAACAAGGATTGTACATAGAACAATATCGGATCTCTGAAAAGTATAAGCATGCATATGTACTCAGTACTTGGTTTGGGCCCCTTTTGCAGCAATTACTGCCTCAATGCAGCGTGGCATGGAAGCTATCAGCCTGTGGCACTGCTGAGGTGTTATGGAAGACCAGGATGCTTCAATAGCAGCCTTCAGCTCTTCTGCATTGTTTGGTCTCATGTCTCTCATCTTTCTCTTGACAATGCCCCATAGATTCTCTTTGGGGTTCTGGTCAGGCGAGTTTGCTGGGTAATCAAGCACAGTAATCCCACAGTCATTGAACCAGGTTTTGGTGCTTTTGGCAGTGTGGGCAGCTGGAAAATGAAGTCAGCATCCCCATAAAGCTCATCTGCGGAAGGAAGCATGAAGTGCTCCAAAATCTCCTGGTAGACGGCTGCGTTGACCCTGGTCTTAATGAAGCACAGTGGACCAACACTAGCAGATGACATGGTTCCCCAAATCAACACAGACTGTGGAAACTTCACACTGGACTTCAAGCATCTTGCAGTGTGTGCCTCTCCATTCTTCCTCCATATTCTGGGTCCTTGGTTTCCAAATGAGATACAAAAGTTGCTCTCATCAGAAAAGAGAACTTTGGACCACTGAGCAACAGGATTTTGGACCACTGTGCTTCATTAAGATCAAGGTCAATGCAGCTGTCTACCAGGAGATTTTGGAGCACTTCAGGCTTCCTTCCGCAGACGAGCTTTATGGGGATGCTGACTTCATTTTCCAGCTGCCCACATGGCCAAAAGCACCAAAACCTGGTTCAATGACCGTGGGATTACTGTGCTTGATTGGCCAGCAAACTCGGCTGACCTGAACCCCATAGAGAAGCTATGGGGCATTGCCAAGAGAAATATGAGAGACATGAGACCAAACAATGCAGAAGAGCTGAAGGCCGCTATTGAAGCATCCTGGTCTTCCATAACACCTCAGAAGTGTATAATTGTAATAGAGACTATGTCAAAAGCAAGATTTTCCCTATTTTCCTAGGGTTCTTTTTCAATTTACCGGTATGTCTGCTTTTAATTTTGTCGGACCAACTATTATGCTTATAATTATTACAACCAAAAAAGACCTTCTCATATAAATTTTTAAAGTTATGATTTAACAACTGTTCCAATCATTGAGCTTGTGTAACAAAGCCTCTTTAAGGAATAGGGCTTGCTGATTTGAGGCACCGGTTGGAGTGGAATTGGGGATTTTTTCCCCTCATAGTTTCAGTTTTGTTGAATTCCCATCAAAATGAAGCTCATATTTGTTGCTGGTTATCACCTATAAAGTCCTGTATGGCACAGGACCAGGTTACCAGTTGGATTCCCTATCTCCCATACCTAACAAGTTAGGTATCTCTATAAATCGTTAAACAAATAAAGTAGTTCTGTGAAAACAACAAGCACTTTCATTTGTTTATACAAATCCAATAAACGGATCTTACTTTATTAGAAGTACATCATTTACTGTTTCATTTTAATAATTCAGCCAGACTTGGGTTTCCAATCTTTCTTTCAGTTTCTTTCAGTTTCAATCTTTCAGTTTATTCTACTTTTTCTTCCTATTAATCTAGGGATAGGTAAAGGAAATGTTGAAGAAGCAGAGAAACTTCTCAAACCTTACCTGATTCGATATCCAAAAGTAAGATATATGTTAAGTCGATCTACCAAATACTTTTATGCAATGCCTCATTTTTTTAAAAATACACAAAAACTAATGTTTTCTCTTGGATTTCTTCTAGGGTGCCATATTCCTGTTTTTTGCAGGGAGAATAGAAACAATAAGAGGCAATATTGATGAAGTGAGTAATCTGCTTTTCTTTCTTTCCCATGCTATTATTTCAGTTTAAGAAAAAATATTTATGATCACAAGGAGAAGTGGAGGGTAAGGGAACTAAGGATACTGTTAATTTTGAGCAGCTGTACATGGGACCCCACAGTTGGCATGCTGTCTAGTTGGGAGTCTTTTAAGGACTCTAAATGTAGAGACTGTCTCCCTAATGTACCACAGGAGAGGACTGCGAATTATGGGGAGAGGAAGTTAGGAATTTCTTTGCTCTCAGAGAGTCATGATTGGATGGCTTGTGGAAGCAGACACACTAAGAAAATAGATTTCATACAATTGGGTTGAATAATTCAGTCCCCAAATCTTGGGGGAACAGAAACCAAGGTAAAAGAAAGTAAAATTAGCAGTGAAAATACAGATAGGCATTACACAAAGAATACACAAAGGATTCATTTATTTCTGTTGTTGTTTCCCTCAGTTAGTAATAATTGTGATTAAATAATTTTTTCAACTACTTATTTTATTATTTGTATTATAATAAAAGCCCTGTTCAAAGATAATGCCGGTTTTGAAGTGATAATTGCTTGGCTCTGGTTCCTAGTAAAAATAAAACATGGAAGCTTTAATTTAAGAGTTTGTTCCTCTGGAAGTAGGTTTTCTTGTTCTGCTCCACCCAGATTTCAGATGAGAGGTGCTCCTCCTCATATTCAAGAACTGGTAGTGGCAAATGAGTGAACTCTTTGAAGTAAGAGTGTCTGTGTGTGTGAGAGAGAGAGAGAGAGGGAGGGAGGGAGGGAGGGAGGGAGGGAAGAAAGGAAGGAAGGAAGGAAGGAAGGAAGGAAGGAGACGGGGGAGGGAGGGGGAGAGAGTCCAGGAGTCCCACCTACACTTTCTACTCAGGTAGAGATAAAAACAAATGATAGCAAGATTCTAGAAAGAGAATTGGCTACTTAGCGTGATTTTTAATGATAGAAAATGGGTAACTTGTTTCTTATCACAAATATTTACAGACACCCTTTCTTAAAAAAATAAGCCAATTTTGATCTAAAATATTTTTGATTGTGATGTCCAATTATGGTCTGTTCTCCTTTATACAATATAGAAGTATTTACTTGGCACAAAGTCTCCTCCCCCACATGCCAGATAAAATAGTTTTATTTGCCTAATATTTTAATTCAATCTGTTCCCTCTGTTTATGTGCTATTTAGCAGTATTGCTATTCTAATATATTCTGCTATGTAGATTTTTGTTTATCTTACCGCTTATAAAAAATATTTAATTTTTGTTTATTTTATATCCTTGATTAGCAACTGCGAACATTTGTAAATCTGACAGTAATAACTGGTAGTCAAAAATAGTTAAAAAAATTTTTTTTA